ACCATTTCCTTAAATTCTGTGACATAAGACAGCACGCAACCCATTGAAACACAGGAAAAGCTTGAGTTCAATGTGATATCGGATTAAAATTATAGCACACGTGTTTGTTACACAGAACACTTGAGCAACCCTAGATTTGGCCTCCACAGTTTTTCTATGCATCACTGGATTTATTGAACTCGCGATTATTGACCATTTTGATGTTGAAGTTGACTTTAAAATTGGCTTATAGAAAAGTGTGAAAAGGAAACATTTTACAGTAGAAACTTTGGAAAACTGAAAAAGTGAATTGAAAAGTGAGTTCAACTGGTTTTTCTACAGAAAACTAGTCGAAATGGAAATCGAAGATAGAAAAATTGTTATTGATGAAAACAAATGAGATTCTGCTAAAGCAAGTACAAAACACTATGGATGCAAGGTTTCCGCCGTTGCACAAAAAAAAGACAAAATCAAGAAAAAGCTGGATATGGAATGATATCAAAAATGCGAGTGCTAGAAAACGCAAATTACTGAAACTTTAACAAAATCACAGTACTTTAGAAGCAAAATAAAACATGAAAGAAAAAAAAAATTCAGTACGGCTTTTTCATGGAAAAATCTGAACAACCCAAGAAACGTTTCTATGAATGTATGAAAAAAATTATATGCGATAATATAAAAAACAGTTCAAAAACCGAAGAAAGTCATGCAACTGCTCAAAAAATAAGCAACTAATTTGTCACAATCAGTCCAAACTAGTCCTCTGGATTTCAAAAGAGTAATTTTTTCAAAATTTTTCCAAAAAAAATCTCTTTTTACCTGTCACAAATTGATGAATAGCAAGTTTATGGCACAACGAAGCACTTGCTCAACAATAAATCTAAAGGTGACATGGGTCTGTCAAATTACCTGATCAAAATAAATATTCCTTTTTTAAAAGCTCAGTTGACCAGTATTTCTAACCAGATAAATAACGAAAAAATTATCCCAGTTGTCTTGAAACAGCAGAAGTAGTCTCTGTTTTCAAAGCAAGAGACAGTTGATTCCATGCAATTATAGACCTTTTTCTTTAATTCCTGTTATAGGTAAAATTTTTGAGAAATTATCATTGAAATTAATAATCATTTTTTCAAGAGGTTTGACATCCTAAGCAGTAATTAGTTTAACTTTCGAAACAAACGCTCTACAATTGATGATTTTCAGGAACTTTTAGAGGGCCTCATTGAAAGCAAAAATACTAATGAATTGGCGGAGTGTTCACTCTTAAATTTATCTAAAGATTTCGTTTTTGTTGCTCATAGCATGCCTAATTACAGGGGTCACATTTCCGGACCGAGAGGCGTTCCTCCTAGATTACAGAGATCAAATCTTAGCAATAGAAACTAATGTTTTTAATTTAAATAAAAGTTTAACCACAGAGAAGCTTCATTGTTGAGTACATCAAAGTTTTGTTTTGGGTCCTCTGCTTTTCTCTATTTGTGTCAATGATCTTCCCAACATACCACAGGACAGTGAATGTAATTTTTATGCCGATGATATTTACAATTTTGGAACACTCAACGAAACTACAGAACATAAAACAGATTTCCAATTAATATCAGAATCTATGGAAAATAATAATCTATCAACAAAAAAGGCAAAAAAATAATGATTTGTAGCAGATTAAAAATTTTAGAAAATGTTGACTGGAACCAAGACGAAATAGAACTAAAAGTTGCAGTTAAAAACATGGATTAGTGTTGAATCAAAATCTTACCTTTAACCATTATTTTGTAAAAGTAAGAAAAAATGTAATCGATTCACTTGCATGATTTTTCAAACAACACAGTTTCTCAGCTCATCTGTTCCCATTAGAAAATAAAAGCAGTCTATACAGCCAAAATCACAAAATGGTGTTTTGTGTAGGGAGTTGCTAAAAAACCACTTTAAGAAATCGGCAAATACAACAATTATTTTTAATTAGAATTGCGTTTCGTCTCAAAAACGAAACACAAATAGTAAGGACAATAAAAAAATTGCGCGGAGTTTGCTCAATACGAAATACACGTATAATACCAACTATTTAAATTACTCTCTAAAGTAATAAGACGAGAACGTGAAGACGACAAAATGAGCAAATTTGTTTCTAAACAAGAATTAGACAAATCACTCGATAGCTTTAACAGAACAAAATTACTAACAACATTAAAAATTATCACGAAATAACAAAAAGTTAGTATCTGTGCGAATACGGACACTAAAATTATTCTTTAAAAATTTTAAATAGGAATATCATTAAAGAAGATTTTATTGAGCCTAAAATGTCTATAGACAACCTAAAGCTTAAAATCAGAGATACTTCTTTAATTGATTGCAACTACTTCATCAAATTCTTTTGGTGTTAAAGCAATGAGATAAATTAATAAACCACTGCATCATAAATTGTACACCCAAGAAAATTTTATCGTATATTTTGAAATAAGGCAATTAAATTAAAAAACAGTTTTCATTTTTCTTGTGGTTGTTTCTTTTTGCACAATTTCCAAAAAGTTTTTTATTATAATTTTGAATATAGTCTATATTCGTTTAAAAAATTGAGTCATTTTAATAAGAGAATGAATTAAAACATTAATTTGTTCAAGTTAACAGCATACAACAGCAAAAATGCGTAAAAAATGTTTAAACCAATTTCAGTTGCGCTTTCGAATGAAATGCATATTTATACAGAAATAATTACAGAATAATTATTCAGAAAAAATACATGCTTGTGGAGGGCAATCTACCGTAGGTCGCTTAGAGGGAAAGATTGTACGGTTGATCCAACTTATCTGACCAATTAAAAGACCAATTTCATATAGTTTCAAAATGTATATATGATATTATGTTAACAAATAGGAAAGACGCTGCCCTCTTTTCTAACCGACCGAGACCTTCGCTTCAGCACTATTTCAATTCATCCATTGTTCCCGACCAAAAATCATTCCAGCAGCGTTTAGAACCAAAGAAACATTTATGGAGGGGTTCCGGGTCAGAGACATGATTTCACAGACCAGACGGTTTTTTAGCACCTTTTATGATGCAAAGCTTTTAACTTCCTTGCTGAGCAAAATATATGGCAAAGTAATTATAATAGTGAAGACAAAAGCTTTGGGTCATAGAAAATGCTAAAAATCCACCGCTTAGCATCACGTTTTTGGCCCGTGATCCCTCCTAAGTGACCTTATTTTTTGTTCTGGAACACTGCTGGAACAATATTTGATTGTGAACAACGGATTGCATTAGATCACCCGCACTGATAAAAATGGTTTTGGGTTGATTTAAACTGATTCTAAATCGATTTGAAGTCGAACCAAATCGATTAACAATGCACATTTTACGATTTTAAATGGTTTTTAAATCAATTTAAATGGCTCTTTTGAAAATTTTAGATCGATTTAAGTGTCTATAACATCGATTCAAATCGATTTGGATAGATTTTTCGACTCGTTAAAATGCATCCAAAACTCACCTAAATCCATTTTAAATCGATTTAAATCGATCTTTCCTGAAAATTTTGGACCAATTTAAGTGTCTTTAAAATCAATTTAAATCGATTTGGATGGATTTTTAGAATCACTAAAATCAATTTTTTCGCAACACGATAAAAAACATGCTCTTCAGAAAAAATAATTGAAATATTTTAAAATCAATTTTTTAAATAAAAACACACGTTCCAGATCAGATGTTATAGAATTCAATAAAATGATCCATATAAATCAAATTTTAAGCTAAAAAACATGCAATGAAATCATTGAAAATCATGAATGTAAATCAGATTTTGAGCGAAAAAGGGTCAATATAGATCAGTTATTGGACTCAAAATATATAAGAAAATCATCGAATTTTATTTGGTTATTTTTATGCTACAATACGCTATGGATGTAAAATGAAAAAAGATAGGCAATGAATAAATGCAATAAAAATTCGAAACTGATGAAACTGAAAAGAAAAAAATCGATTTAAATCCCGTTTTAGTTCCCTTAAAATGAAAATAAATTAAGACTGGAAAAAATGGATTTAAACCGCTTTAAAATTGATTTTTGTAACTGGGGTTTAAGATCAATTTTCATCTTTTTTATTTCATACTAAAATCGATCTAAGTTTAATTAACATACTTTTTCAGCTCGGCTAATCCGTTTTTGTCAGTGCGAAGGTGGTAGTTTCAAAGCGAAGGTGAAGATCGAAGCGGGGGAGAATCGAGAGAGTGGGCGGATTAATCAGCCCCTTTCACTCGATCCGCCACTGCTTTGCTTTGAATACTTTTTATTTTGGTTTTTTTTTCACTTGTTGGCCCGGTTGATTGATTGAGGGTCATTTCTCGGGCTTTGTTTTGTTTCTAATCACTGACGCACATTCATCAACTGGCCTTTACCTTAAAGTGTGCTCTTCAAATGAACTAATCAGCTATTGAAACTTATTTTCTGCTACTTCTAGTTTTGTAAAGCAGGAAGTCAATTGACATTTTGAGATGGTACCTAAACGTTCGGCGGCCGCACTAATTGAGCTGTGTTGTTGCAAAACAGAAGAGTAATAAAGAGACACTCAATGTCGAGTCTGTCATTAGATATGAACAACAAAGAGCTAAGAGGAGCGGAGAACCACCAGGAAAGTGAAATCCTACCACCAGTGGCCGCAATATAATATGGGCAACAAAACAATAATAAGTGCCGGGCAACAAATATTGCAAATTCATTATTGTTCATCAATATGCACTTACCGCCGACATGCAGCTTAAAAAGTGTTCACCGAATCGCCAAATGACATGTTAAGTAGTACCATGCCATGTACATACAACCTTTGTCAGTTGACCAGCAGATATTGATACGTACATACTACTGCAGCATAGACAAGAGAAAAACTTAATCGGCCCCTCCTCCCCGCACCTTCTACCACTCTCTTCTCTGTCGACTGCATGAATCAAATGGTCCACTGAAACTAATCCGTTGTATACAGCTCATGTTGTTTGCTGACAGGGACATCGTTTCAACAGCGTCTATCTTAAGACCCTTCTGATAACCTCTTCAAACCTTCTTCTGTTCTTCTGACGATCATATTAACTTCTACCGATCTCAAAATCCGCCAATTTTAGTCATCAGCTGTCGAATTTCGGTTATCTAACGTATGTTAACTTCGTGTTTTTCAAGATTTAATGGTAAGTAAATTATAACCATTTCCAATAAATTGCCAGCCAGCCACAATTACACAAAATTATTCATCCAAATCGGACATTTTGAACCTGCCTTGTATTTAATTTAAAGTAATTGATGGACCTTTTTCTTGCATTACTATAATTTAAACAGAATTCCGGAAAGTAATTTCAGGTAACTAAACCTGAAAAGCCGCCAAATTAGAACAAATTGAGCTAATTTTGGTCGGAGCGACCGTTTTTACAATGAACAAAAATTGTTTGACTTTTTTGATATTTGCATGAAATTTTCCGAGCACTGTTTTCCGAGCACTTGTTTTCCTCCGAAGTAAAGATTAAAACTAAATATCGAAGCCCATTTGAAAATCACATTTTTTCACAAATCAAAATCAAGCCAATTAATTATTTTTTTTACGCCAGCCGCCAGCATCATTTAATTTGATCTAATTGCATGAATAAATGTGTAAATTTGGACAGTGAAAAGAGTGAATTTGTCGAGCTAATTAAATGAATCTTGTGCCGTCAGCACAGCTTCTTTCTGAAGTACAGTTACTTTCGCACCTCAGATGGTGCTTATTATCCAATCAGTGCTCAGTGTGTGGCATCAGCAGTCGCTCTTGATTCTATTTTTTAACTGAATGAATCTACAATCTACTATTTACTATTGCTATCTATCATCAGCGCCTGTCTTTTATTAGATTGAAAACACATCATTCAGACCTGAGCAATCACACTTTTCCCAAACTCAATATCAATAATCCATGGTCCATTCCATGGCTCAGTCCCATTATTTCAGACTTTAACGCAATCATTCGTCAATTTAAATTACGAAACCAGAAAAAAGTTTTAAAGGAAGACAAATAGTATATTATCCACCCAACTTGATCATCCAGCAATAAATCTATTACAAAAGCGGAAAAATTAAAAAAAAAAACACTAGGGTCTTATTTTTTAATAGGATTCAGATTTGAGCGTTATAATATTGATTAGCGCGCCTTAATAGCCAATCGAGAGGTAGTAGGTATCTTCTGGGACTTTTAAAATCTTGTGGGTTGGCTTGGCTGGTTAGCTGCAGTAAATCGAAATCTATCAATCTTAATTTCTTATCATTGCTGCAAATTGTTCTTCTCATTGTCAGTGCTGGTCCATTTTTCCCAATTTACTTCCACGTGAAATTGTCTTTGTCCCTTCGCAGGAACGACTTAACATTAACAGGGGATTATTACAAATAGCAAATTGTGTTCACGTGTGGTTAACTTTCTTGCAATAATTGTTTATACTATTCCCTTAACCACAGCAATGTCACCAACTTACCATAAACAAGCTCCCCCTCCCCCTTTCTCGCTACCACATGGACATTATTCTTCAATGGCCTAAATCTGTAAATCGCACAGCCCCCCTTAATTTAGGACCAACCGTTTAATTCGCCACATTCCCAGTCGCATATTGTTGCATTTGGTAAAATATAATCGGTCTCAAACCTATCATTTTCTCTATATTACACTATTCCTTTATTGTAACCCGAGTCTAGCTCTGGTACTACTAGCAACAGGCTCAGTTTCCATTTCAGTGCGCCATTTAAACTAGATTGTGGCACAAATTGTAAACATTGTTGTTGGTACTTGACGTCCAAAACAACTCCTGTCCGAACACTGGTCTTAACTTCCACAACTTCTCAAATTCCCCCCTTTACCTCATTCCTCTCTAGTAATTGTGACAACCAAATTAAACGACGCCAATATTCGGTGCACGCAACCTACAACCATAAACTTCATTCTTCGAAAAGACAACTCGTATATGTTAGTAATTCCCGGTCAGTTTTTGTGTTTCCTATACCCTTTATTTATTACACTTCATAAAATTCATAATAACTAAGGCCCAGTATAAGCCATCAGTTTGAGAGGTGGCTGATAAAATTGACACCCTAATCCCAAGTTCTCTTTTCTCCTGTCCAGCAAATCAAACTACCCAGCTCTATTTTTTCAATTTGATTATATTGCAATCTTAGTGTAGTATAAAATAGCTTGTAACTGCGTCGATATCGTTTTTGCTGAAACTTCAGCCGTAGTTTGTGTTTTTAATCCCAATTTAATTAAGTTTGAGCCCAGGCTGATTAGTTTTATATACCTGGACTCCGGTACCTGTCACAACCAAGTCTAGTTCACCCGAGGGAGGCGATTTCTCTCAATCCCCTACCTGTCGCGATATCTAGAAACTCCATTGGGGTCAATACTCGACAAAGTGTCCAATCTGATACTTTATTATTGTTATTACCAGAGTTCGAGTATATTTCTTTTGCTTGAGCGCCGTTTGAAACTCAAACTTTTTGGCTGCTCTCTTATTGGGATCCAGCTTGTGACAGTTAACCCTGCAATCAGGGAACCAGTGGGATAGCCAAACCTACCCTGCTCACATTATCAACTGGATCTTTGCCAGCCTAGCCGCTATTATTGCTTCTCTGATCCCACAATTCTGTTAGGACTCGCAGAATAAAATTAACCCATCCCTCATTTCAAGATCTAAAGGATAACCAACTGGTGAAACTAACCCCCTGAAAATCAAACACACGGATAAACTGCAACTGAAGCCATCTGACCGGATCCGATTTGGATTTGGCCGCAATCAATTTGAATAAATCAGCTGCCAACACTGAAAGTAAAAAGCTCGAAAGTGAAATTTATTTCGACCTAATTTTGACAATCTTAGGTTTCATTCATTTTCGAACATTTAGTGTAATATAGATTGCAAAATTTTTGTTTATTTATCCTTCTTTGCTAAATTCTTCTTTTCCTTGTGTGGATATTACACCGACATATAAATTAATTCATCTGTGATCTGCGTGTGAAGATGGTGATAGAGACGAATAATCTGGAGACGATGTCCCAGGGCTCCAATGGGTCCAGTCAGGGCATGCTGGACAGTCACGTGAACGGACACGAAGACGAAGTAAGTGCAAATTTATTTGTTAACAAAGCAGGGGCGGATCTAGGATTTTCTCGAGGGGGGGGGGCGGAATTTCAAAAAAAAATCGAAAATTTTGACGACCTTTTTTCTAGGTCGATCAAAATGATTTTCTGAGCTCCAAATCATCAAAGAGAACCTATTTTGACCAAATTTCCTAATAAACAGGCCAAAAAAGGGGATTTTTGGCACTTTTCTGAAAATTTTGACCACAAAATCACGTTATTTTTGGCGCGCGCTCCCCCTTCAAAATTAGTATATATTGACGCCAAAGGTGCCTTTAGAAAAGTTTTAGGGTCCGTCAGCCAAAAATGTATAATTCAAAATAGTACAAAGGGGGACCCTTTGGGTCGGCAGGTGGTCGAATCTCTGAGGGGGGAGGGCGTCCCTAGTCCCTAAATCCGCCCCTGTATCAAAACATGATTTTTTAATCGTGCTACCTAAGTTTTTGAAACAGTTTCCGCCCGTACTTAAGTTTGTTTATTTTGAATTGATTTCTTTTCAATTATTGCTTCATATGATCCCAAGACAACTAAGTTTTTTATCAATTCAGTTGTATTTAAATTTTATTGTTCTTTTATTTCTAAGAAAGTGACGAAATTTTTATTCTTGGTTTTTTATTCAGACTAATTTTGGTAATCAAAAAAAAATAGTTTTTAGCAGAAATTTTTATAACCCAATGAAAATATTCACTTCGTGACTTCAAAATAAAAATAATTAGTTATTTGTAAATGTTATATTGCCAAATTGGTCATTTTTTGGATTAATTTATGAGCACCTTTGATAAATTATCTATGATGACGAAAAGCGTAACACGAAGTTTTTTATGTTTGGCAAATTATTCCGTGCTGAAGACCGTATGAAATTGTATTGAAGCTAGCTTAGCGGTAAGATAAGAAAACTGCTTTAGTTTTTTATCAAAAAATTTTTTTTGTCATACCTAGACATTAGGATCAACGTCATGAGAGCGAATGCCTGTGGTTGATCCTAGACAGAGTTGCTAGCTTCATTTGAACCTACTTTTTTACTGTAAATAATTTGATGCCAAATTTGTAAACAATGATGAAACAATTTTGAAACATAACAAGACTGCTCGTATCAGGGCGAAGCCTTGAATGTTCCGACTGCCTTTTAAGGTTTATGGAGCAGTAATAATATTAAAAAATTAAATGAAATAAAACAAAATGAAAAATTTTTTTCTTCTAAAATTTGAATTTTTTTAAATAAAAATTATCCCCCACACGCCATATAAAGTACAACAGGATAGATTTCGCTCCTTGTAACAAATCAGTTATGGCAAATAAGCTTCTTTCAACCAATTTGGAACGATTTCTAAGACGGATTAACTCTCCGCTTACGCGTTAATAGCGCGAAATATATCGCGCGTTAATTGTCCCAAATTGGCCAAAATGGCAATCTTTAAACCGCCATAACTTTGCGAAAAATGATCACAGGTAAAATATCTTTTCAAATTTGAGCTCAGGACAACAATACCTTTCGAATGATATAAAAAATTCCGTCAAAAATGGCTTGTTAAAAAGTCGAAATTTGTCTGAAGAAAAAAACCCCACCCCGAGGACAAATATTTTGTTACTTTCGTATCGAAAGTCGGAACAAAAACTCGTTAATAGCGTAAAATCGTCTATAGCGCATTGATAGAACAAATTGATTGAATTTGCCAAAAAGATATTTTTCTAAACCCAATAAGTTTTATCACAAAGTGAACTATCCTTTTAATTTCGAGCTCCAGTTTTCATTGCCTTCCAGATGAAAAAAGACGTTTCAAAAGATTCCGTTTGACAAAAAACCACACTTGGAAGAAGTTTAAACAAGAAGTTCAATTTTTTAAAATTTTATTTGAGAATTTCCATAGAAGTATCACGGCAACTAACACTTTCAGCCGGGTTTTTCCAAAAACAAAACTCAAACGCTTATAGAACGATATGATTGGGTGTTTGATATGAACTTCCACTGCCCGAATCAATTAGTTTTTATCAATGGCTGCGAGTTAAATAAACGCGCAATTAAATCGTTTGTGTGTGTTGCATTCTGAGTGATAACCAATTTTAACCAATTTTGGTACTGCATGCTTTTTTGGCTACTTGGTTTAGCAGATCATATTGTCTGATTCTACGTAGTCTTGTTTAGACTTAGTTACATATGAAGTCATGAGCCCAAAATTTTGTTTTGTTGCGAAAATTTGATTTCTTGAATTTATGCAAAAGGATAAATCTAAAATTTTGTGCTGCATTGATAAATTAGTTATCAAGGGTGTTGAAGTTGAAATAAGTTCGTGATTCAAAGAATTGTTTTCAACGGCTCGCTAAGTGGCGATCTTAAAAAAGAAGTAAATTCGTGTTTAATTTTTTTTGTAAATCTGGCCGAATACAACTGGTTTATTATTATGCAACGTTCGAGTAATATAACGAAATAATTTTACTCTGTCTTTATTCCCCAAGATATGTACTGTAATCAACTAGATTTTTCTACAGATTTTTTTTTTGAAATTAGAATATAAAAAACCTGAAGCGCTGCGCTTGAAATCGAAAAAATCACTTGCAATCATTCGTAAAGGATACAAAACGCGCCAAATTTCTAGTGTTATAGATTAAACATGTCTCTCTAGAGATTAAACATGTCGCTTACTACCTTATACGCTATAGCGTATGAGTGTATGTAAAAAAATGTGAGGAAAAACTCAAACCATTTATTTTACTTCTTTCGAGATTTTTTTAGTTAAATAGTCAGTCAAGTTTCTGGTTTATAAAAATTAAGTATTGTTTATTTAAATTATAATTGGGCCAAGTTAACATCCTCCCCCCCCCCCCCCAAGCCGTTTTGGGGGAGAACTTCAACTTTGTCTAAGTTAGTTTCAGCCAATCAGAATCGAGCAATTTACTTGCATCGTTGGTCTATCTGGGGAGGGGGGGGGGGGGGGAGGATGTTTACTTGATCCTTTATACCTTTATAAATTACTACTTTTAAGGGTGTGGCAACATTCAGATTTTTGCTCTGATACCAGAATTGGCTGTTAGAAACAAAAATCAACTTGTTCCGAAGCAATTGTCTCAATAGTGAACGGTTCAGTGACACATTCCCTATTAGACAGGTTTCTCTCTAAATCGTACTAGTTTGCTTGCTTACATTGCTAAAAACTATTCATTTCACTTCATTGCTCAAATGTCTTTTTGTCTCATGTCTCAATCAAAGAATTTTTGAACGTTTAAACTATATCGTACAGTGCAATACTAAAAAAAAAAATTTTCGATCTTTCAGTTTGTGTTAATTTCACAAAATTTGAAATTAGCAACCCAATAGTGGGATGCTGTTAGGCTTACCCCAAGGGTTGCGAATTTGGCCTGCAGTTATGAATGCCAAATACTTTTAGTGTACGAGATACGAGATATGACGATACAAAATAATTCAAAAAAATTGAAATTCCCAACTCTGTAGTTGGAAGCTGCCAGAGTACTCTCAAGGGTTGCGAAACTTGCCTCCAAATATGACTGCGCAAATCCTTGTTGTTTTCGAGATGTGACGTAATTTATTATTTCTTTTTAACTTTTTTTTTAGAAAATTTAGGTTTTAAAAAACTCAAAGATTTGAAATTTACTATCTTGTAGTTGTTCACTGTGAGGTTACTCTCAGGAGTTCCAAGTTAAAAAAACTTGCGTCCAATCGCGACTGCTCAAATTCTTTAAGTTTCCGAGATGTGACGTTTGTTATGTCTTTTTCCTAAATAGCTGAATAAACTTAGATATCAAAAACTTCACAAATTTTGATGTTGCCATCTCTAAAATGAGGCTTTTTCAAAATACTCCCAGGGCTTGCGAATTTTACCTTCAAATATGATTGCTCAAATTGTTGCAGTTCTCGAGATTTGATTGTTGTAGTTCTCGAGAAATTTGAAATTCCTAACCGTATAGTTGGGAATTGTCAAAGTACTCTCCAGCGTTGCAAATTTTTCCTCTAATTTTGAATGCTCAATTCTTTCATCTCTGTAGTCTCTGTGATATTTTCCAAAAACTTTCAGAAAACAAGCTTTTTTTCAAGATTTGAAATCTCCAACCCTGTGGTTAGAGGGTTAGAGGGTGTCAGAGTAATCTCAGCGATTGTGGATCTTGTCTCCAAATTCGACTGCTCAACTTTTAAATTTTGTAGTTTTCCAGATATGATGTTTCTTAAAATTTTTCAAAAATTTTGCAGAAAACTTAAGTTTTCAAAATGTCTCGAGAAATTTGAAATTCCTAACCCTGTAGTTAGAGTTGTCGGAGTACTCTCCGGGTTTGCGAATGTTGACACCAAATTGTACTGCTCAAATCTTTGTAGTTATCGAAATATGACGTTTTTTATGCTTTTTCAAAAAAAAAGTTTTTAGAAAACTTAAATTGAAGTTTCTTAAAATTTGAAAAACTGCCAAAGCTGTACTTGGGTACAGTGAGAGTGCTCTCAAGGTTTGCATTTTTTGCGTCCAAATGCGAGTGCTCAATTGATTTTAGTTTCCAAGTTTTTAATTTCATTTTAAGGTTTTTCAAAAAACTGAGATATTAAAATCTTCACAAAATCTTATGGTTTTTCAAAATTTGAACTAAAAAAAATTTGAATAAAAAACTTCACAGATTTGAAATAACTAACCCAGTAACTGGTTGATGTCAGAGTACACTCAAAGGATGCAGATCTTAATTCCAAAATATGTGGTTTTTATATGTTGTAAAAAATTCGAAGCTAGTTAAATTTAAGGAATTTGGTAAAAATGGTATTATTCCCCATTTCGAAAAAAAACTAATGGAATTTTAACGCTAGGGGTGTTTTCTACCTGAAAAATTTTGACTAGTTTAATGTTTGATTTTTGAGCAAATTTTCAAATAAAATTGAGATGCTCTGACCTCATAATTATAATCCAGTGATTTTTGCTGAAACTTAATTTATGATTTGGTTGCTCTTAGCTGAAAATCTTATTTTTTTTTGTGAAGTAATGGAGTTTT